ACTAGACTTCAGAAAGTTGTGTCTCTATATTAATTCACGTACTATATAATAGGCAGGAAGCTAAGGTCATGATCCTCATTTTTGGAGTCTCATTCCGCTAATTTCTTAGAAAAGAGCATTTTGGCAGGTTGAGATTTTCCCTAATACATTGCTGAGGGAGGGAAGGGAGGGGAGGATGCATCTAATGTTGTTTCTGCGGTTCATACATTTCAATGTATGAAATGCCCCTGCACAGTTTGCTATGAGGTAGCCCTAGGAGTACACTATGCATTTATATCAGAGAAGAGAGAGCTTTTTTTTTCTTTTGCAGTCTGTACTTTACAAAAAAAAAAAAAAGAAGAAGAACAAGAACAAGAGCTCTACAGGAAATGAACTCATTAGAAGATCTTGGAGGCTGAGTCTATTTTCATTCTGTTTTTCTTTTCGGGGATTTATATAGCAGACTAAGAAAAACCACATTGCCAAATATCAGCAATTTCCTACCTGATTTTGGTCATGCAATCTTGAAGGAGGAAGGGAAGGTGCTAAGATGTACAAAAACAAGGCTGGGTATCACATGTTCCCATGGGCTCTGAGTTGCCCAGCCTTGGTTTATGTCATCAGTGTGTGCCTACTTTTTTTGTTATTTGGATGGAAAATTAAGATTCCTGCAATGTGAGAGGTCTGAAACAATAACACTATGAGGTGGATTTCTTTCTATGTGTTATTAGGGAAACTCCTCAATCATTTATGGAACTGCAACTCGAGGGGATGTTTTGGTAACAGGCTCTTGACTATTATTTTTTCAAGTGGAAAAAAATGGAACAAGCCAGCAATTTCACTTTGCTAAGATGTTCCTGGAAAACTCTGGACATTGTTTAATGTGTTCCAAAGAAGTTTCTGACCTTGGTTTCACTGAACTCATTGCTGCTTTTCCCTGACTTTAGATCGGTTTCTGAGAAGCCTTAGGAGTCTTAAAATAACATTATTTTTATTTTAGTCTCCTTTTTATTATACTGGTGGTTGTTTACTAATGTAATCTACTGGTTTTATCTTATTGCTTTACTGCTTTTAATTACTTTGAATAACCTTTGCACTTTTTCCAGAGAAACCCTAATGATTGGGCAGTAAATATATTTTAATCCAGCGATTCTGAAGCAAATCCCACTGAGTTCAATAGATCTTACCGTCAAGTAACTATAGGATTTCAGCTGTAAGTATTTTCTCTGCCAGGTTTCATAAGTTGGATCTGAGTTTCTTTCAAATTACAATATTTTAATTCAGTAGTAGAGAATTTTAGAGAATATATCCATGTTTTGTAATTGTTTGCTTCCAAAACATGTTCAGAAGTGGTCATAAATTAATGACAGCTCTGCCTGTTAGCACAATCTTTCATGAACTACAATCCAATGTATCTGATGCATGGGTATTATCTTTAGATGATAGCTAGATATGCATAGCCACAGCGAGCAAAACAAACAAAAAGATTAAAATGTAAAGCAGCAAAGAAACATAGTGGGCTAATATGATTCTTTTCAGAGAAAAGAATGTAGCTTTCCTCCCAGATAGGATGAATCTGATCCCATTAGAGATTCTTGACAACTATCATGTCTGGAATCTTTCTAATGGAGCTGAACTATAATTTCCTGTGCTACACATCTTGTTCTTTTTAACCACACTTTGTTCTACGGTTGTTGACCCAGACATGGATCCACAGCAGAAACATGGAGAATTTAAACATTCAGATTTTTAATGGCCCATTGTTTGAGTGCTATTGAAACTGAGCCCAGATTCAATTAAGAGGCTGCACAAAAATCCTTTCAAAGTGCTACCTTAGTTGCCCAATGGACAAACTTGGCATCTGGGATTTTTATCTGAATCAGAACCTGAATATCTGCAGTGGGATTTATTTCCTTAAGGGATTACGCCCACGCTCATTTCACTACTTGTACTACATGTGCCTAAGCATTAAGATAAGGCAATGTTGATTGGTAGGGCACAGCTACACCAGAGCTTAAAGTTGATTTAAGAATCAAGATTCTGAAAATGATAGTGCTGAAAAGGAGGGTGTTTTCAGCCCCTATACTTGCTGTATAAAATGAGCATTAAGTAGTCATAATTGCTGCAATCCGTACTTAAATACATATCTACCGCATCATTTTTAACAGGGTGGGCAACCTGTGATCCCAGAATGGCCTAGAATTCTCAGAGACTCTAACCAGAGTGTTGAACAACCACAGCTGGAAATAAATGTAGTCTACCCTAAAATAGGTGTTTCACTTTTTCCCAGATAAAAACAGCCATGTTCAACTCTGCCCAGCTCACATGAGTGATAATGGATCTACCGTATTTACTTTAGCCCCTCTAACCAGGGGTGAAATCTAGCAGGTTCTGACAGGTTCTGGAGAACTGGTAGCAGAAATTTTGAGTAGTTCAGAGAACCGGCAAATACCAACTCTGGCTGGCTCCAGGGTGGGGTGGGAGTGGGGATTTTGCAGAATCCTTCCCCTGCCACGCCCACCAAGCCACACCATGCCCACCAAGCCATACCTACAGAACCGGTAGTAAAAAACTTTGGATTTCACCACTGCCTCAGACTTCTCCTCAGATATTGTGTGGCCTCTGACCATCCTACTTTACTCATTCCCATGTTGGATTATGTTTAGGTAGCTTTTCAGTTCTACTTTAAGAACTTTAAATTCCATGTTTGTGTTGAATCATGCTGGGAATCTTAAAATATTGTATATTTTTCAGCTTGATAGTAGGGCTGACTGGCAAACCTTCACAGCTGCTGCATTTTGTGGAGAGATGGTATAGAGGTAATTTAGTATATTGATAAGATGCTGGACTAGAAAGCAGAAGACTCGTTTCCAGGCCTTTTGGGGCATAAAAGCTGGCTGGGTGACTTTGGGCCAGTAACGCTCTCTCAGCCCAACCCTTTTCACAGGTTGGTTGTTGTGGGGAAAATAAGTGGTGGCAGCATTATGTATGCTGCCTAGGGATGTACAAAATAAAGGAAGGATATAAATCTAACAAGAATGACTTGTATATATAAAAAACATTTATATTGCCTAATTTCCAAATGGCAACCAAAAGATACTTCTTCCTCCCAGAAGACCAGCAAAGTGAGAAATGGTGAGCAAGCAGCATGTAAGGCATAATATATGCAGATAAATTTTATCTGATTCTTTTTCAGGGTTCTTCCCCTTGCCCCTGCCTCAACTCTGGCTAATAATAATGGACTGTGGGAATAACCTTGGGAGACAGGAGGAAGAGCCACAGCCAAGATAACAGTCTGATAAGAGAAATCTGAGTCCAAAAGTGGGACAGGGTGGAGAAAATATCTCAGAAGGGACCCGTCAGCCTTGCGAGGTAGACCAAACAGGAAACATGGCCAGATTAGCTAATTCTACTTTATTGTAAGGCTACATTAACAGAACCATGGAAGTCTGAAAGTACATTTCTAACCCACAGCCCCAACCCAAGTCTTCTTTATAACTCAGGAAACTAGGGAGGATCCCTTCTGAGCCACTTGGCCTACCTCATTCCTTCTGTGGATTAAACTGCCTTTTATCTGATCATTCCCTTGGCTGTGTCTCTGTGCCTTGTTTTCTAAGGTCATTCCCACATACCATGACATCACCCTCCCTAGTACTCTGGAAAGTAAAAGCAGGGGAGGGGGAAGTGGTTCCAGACCTGCAAGATTCTGTTATTGTAAATTACAAAAAAAAGTAGTATTAGTATTCATGATTTTGGCTTCCTAGGTTGGATTACGGAATAGAATGGAATGGAATGGACCTTGGAGGCCTTCTAATCCAACGGCCTGGTCAAGCAGGAGATCGTATTCCCGGGATGGCAAACCTATGGCACGCGTGCCACAGGTGGCACACGGAGCCATATCTGTGGGCACGTGAGCATTGCCTGAGCTCAGCTGTACATGCACATGCTGGCTAGCTGATTTTCGGGCCTTCCAAAATTGGGAAATGGGCTGTTTCTGGCCTCCCCGGGGTGGGTGGGGAAGGCTGTTTTTGCCCTCCCCAGGCTCCAAGAAAGCCTCTGGAGCCTGGGGAGAGCAAAAAACGGGGCTTCCGGGCCCACCGGAAGTCAGGAACCGGGCTGTTTCCGGCCTCCAGAGGGCTTCCGGGGGGTGGGGAAGGGTTTTTTCGCCCTCCCCACACTACAAGAAAGCCTCTGGAGCCTGAGGAGGGCAAAAACGGGCCTTCCGGGGCCTCCAGAAGTCGGGAAACGGGCCATTTCCAGACTCCGGAGGGCCTCAGTGGGGGGGAGAGGGAAGGTTGTTTTTGCCCTCCCCGGGCTCCAAGAAAGCCTCTGGAGCCTGGGGAGGGCGAAAAAAGGGTCTACTGGGCTCACCAGTAACCTTTTTGTCATTGTGTGCCAAAAGCGGTGGGAGCATGGTGCACACGCGGGGGGAGCATTGAATTATGGGTGTAGGCATGCATGCACACGACACCCACCCCCCACACTCCCTCTGCTTTTGGCACATGACGGCAAAAAGGTTAGCTATCACTGTCGTATTCCATTTTAGACAAATGATTGTCTGATCTCTTTGTAAAAGCCTCCAGAGATGGAGCAAGCGGTTAGATTAACTTCTGAAGGCAAGCCGTTTCACCAATTAATTGTTCTCACTGTCAGGAAATTTCTCCTTAGTTCTAAGTTAGATCTCTCCTTCATAAATTTCCATCGGTTGCTTCTTGTCCTGCCTTCAAGTGCTTTGGAGAATAAGTTGACCCACTAGTCTTTGTGGCAGCCACTTAGATATTGAAAGACTATTATCATTTACCCCTAGTTCTTCTCTTCATTAGACTAGACATATCTGGTTCCTGCAACCCTTCTTCACATGTTTTAGTCTCTAGTCTCCTAATCAGGTAATAATAAACTGGATAATAATAATCAGATAATAAGACCTGCAGAGTTTTTACAAAGCCCACTCCTGTCTCCATTTTAGTATTTCCAAGATCACACCCATATAATGAATAGGAAAGAAAATGATTCTTCATCAATGGCATTCAAATTATTTCTTTAATAAAATACCACATCAAATTATATAGAATAACATCTGAATAAGAAAGCATGGTCTGGATTTTGTATGCACATCAAGAGGGATGTTGCAAAGATTCTGCAGCATGATTTCATGTTGTGCTTAAAAGCTGGGGTACAGCATTTTAATATTTTGCTAATGAGGACCTAAATAGACTCACTCTTTCTATGAGTCACAATAAAGTTTCTTGAAACATGGATACTGTTCTTCATGTTAGAAGTGATGTCACGAATCTAGACCATGAGAATAATCACAATGTTTGTTTACAGACCATTTAACAGAAAAAAAAGTTTAACACTTGACTTTATGGTACATTAGGATTTATTCGTGTTTTACCAATAGTAATGTTTTTTTCTTTGTTATGTTGGATTCTGTGTATGTGCTTGTTCCTAAACACCAATGAAATATGAATTGATCAGGGATTTTGCAAAGATTCTGCAGCATGATTTCATCAGAGATATCATAAAAACAAAAGCTCTTGTAGACCATGAGGTCCAACCTTCTGCTGCGTTCAGGAGATCTAGAGCTACAGCATCCTTAAGTGTTGGGCCAGCATCTGCTTGAATAAAGGAGAAGCTACTATCTGTCTCCATAATAGATTTAATTTTGAACTGCTTTTACCACTGAGGCATTTATCTTGATTTTTAAGCAAAGCTTACTTTCTTAAAGAATTATCTTTGAGGATTTGTTCACTAGCTTCTTTCAATACGGCTAATCCTGCATTTGTACTGGCACAGTAGATTATGCCAAAATCTTTCTTGCCTTTAACTCAATACAATGCACTTAAATGAAAGCCATGTGGAATACATATTACAAAGTAACATCGGAGTTCATTCTATCCATCAGTTAACACTGAGGTAAACTTGAACGACAAAACTTCACTCAGACTCGAATGTGGATAATTTATTCCAGTGGCAAATTGCTCTCCAGAGATTTGCTCCTCAGAAGAAGCAATGGCAAAATCAGCAGCTTATAGGCAAATATGGTCCAAGGATTGTTTCAAGAAAGTAAGACAATGTTGGAAAACTTGTGGTTCTCCAATCAGGATAAACAGCCATTCCCACAGGCCCAGCCAACATGGCAGAGAATCAAGAATGCTGCAATTGTCCTAGAGCAAGGGTGTCAAACTAACATTGTCACATCGTTGTCACGTGACATATTGGGACTTTTCCCCCCTTCGTTAAACTGGGGGTGGGCGTGGCCAGCACGTGACGCATCTGGCCGTGAGTTTGACACCTCTATCCTAGAGCCACTGATTTATGCAAAAGCTACCTTAGAATAGACTGAATGGACACCACAGATACCATGGGGTCATGCCAACTAGCTATTCTTCCATTTATTTTTTTGTAACTTTTGAAATAACAATACATACACATAGTCATTGCTTCAAGATCCTATGAACACTGATTATGTTGAATGTGCATTGGGGAAACAGATAGGAAACAGGATCCTGATACTGTTTTGTCCCCATATTTGTTTAGTCTAATATCTGTGCACTGTGTCAGTATTATATACAGTATGTATCACTTAACCTTGGCTTATTGAATACTTCATCATAGGCTGGGGGTGATGGCTTAGCATATTGTGGGAATCAAATCCCACAATTTTGAGCCTGGTTTAGCTCAACAGACAGAAGCACTGTAATTTAACACCAGCTGTCTGCAATTAAAGTAAGATCGAATCTTGCCAGGCTCAAGGTTGACTCAGCCTTCCATCCTTTCTAAGGTAGGTAAATTGAGGACCCAGTTTGTGGGGGCAATAAGCTGACTTTGTATAAATATACAAAAGTATGAAGGCTATTGCTTAACACACTGTAAGCTGCTCTGAGTCTCCGGAGAAGGGCAGCATATAAATCAAATTTAAAAAAAAATAATTGTAATTTAGGAAACCATGATTAAGTAAATCATGCATTAGAGTGATGTGTACATTAAATATTACTATCATGATTATTGTCAGGCCTTGATTTTCTAGGCATAACCAAGCAGCTCACCAGCCAAGAGAATTTTAGAGTTCAAAGAAGTTATTTGAGATTATTTGACAAGCAGCAATTAAAATTCAAGGCTGCACCGCAATTGATTAGTTTCTTGGAGGTGGGGGGATCAAACACTTTGCACAGATGTACTTATTTAAAAGCTATTGTCAGAATGGCATTTGGTTCTTATGGGACATGTCCAGCTCTGAGGAGTCAGATGTAATGGGAGAGCTATTTGTTAGAGCAAGTAATAGCTCTTTCTAATTGCACATTTCAAATAGCAGCTCCTTTAAGGGCATTTTTATGGTCCATTGCGAACGGATATTTGTGACAGGAGACAGGCACATGATTAAATATTTCTTACCACTTATCTGGCCAAGGAGAACTGACACATTTCATCGATGGTGCAAAAGTGACATGAAATGTTAGACAATGTTTTGCTTTCTCATGTGAAAGACATTTTTGTGTAGACCACATTTCAATCTGGAAGCCACTGCTTTGAAATTTGAAACACCAGCAGTGTTTGTGCCTGCAACTTCATTGCTAGACTGCTTGCATGGTTTTCTAGGACAGGGAAGTCACTACCAGATAATGTATCTGGCAGGTTTATTTTCTGGCTTGAAAGATTCAGAACAACCAACCAAGATGGCAAATACGTCTTGTAAATACATGCTTCCATTTAAGAATGGCATTAAAAAAATATGGAACAAACATTTGGAAAGTGTGCCTCACTAGGTTATGGGATGGCAATGGCAAACAGCAAAAGTACTGTATACTGTAGATGCTCGGTTCACCCCACAGGGGTTACCAACCGCTCAAGCAAAGTGCGACTTCTGAAAGCACCTAAATGCTGCAGAATAACTGGAACTGGTAGGACATCCTCCATCTTGTTTTCACGGATTTCCTCTGCCATCTTTTCCTAAGTCCCATCAGGAGAAGGTTCTATTCTCTGCAAGCAATGAGATTATAATGTTAGAAGAACTAATGAAACACGTGCTATGTGCTATGCACAATAAATACAGTACTGTACTCTAACCACTACACCACCTCGGGTCTATATAACATAAGGTAGGTTCTTGGTATATGAAGTTTAGCCTTTTTTATAATACGTCCTTATCATCTACAAGTTGGCTTCATAAGTTGATCGAGGGTTTGACAGAAAGGAAAACTTGGCTCTAGATTTTTTCCATGTCATGCAAGATTTCAGAAATCACTACCATGTCCATCCTCTTAGATATTTGTTTTCTGTTATAAAAATTCCCAGTTTTACTCATAGTGTAAGTTCAAGTGTAAGGTAAAGAAGTGCTTTTTTATTATATACCTTTGATTTATACGGCCACCCATCTTGCTGCGGCAACTTAACACCACATAAAATACAATATCAAATAAGAACTACCATAGTAAACAACAGTATATAAAGACCATAATGGCAATTGAGGGCAAAACCGAATCAACACACAATTTCACGCAAGAAATACGCATTTCTAAGACATATATCCAATTACTATTCTAGAATAGTAGTGTTTGTTTATTTCCTAAGTATCTCACATTACCATTTTTAACATTTTCTTTGAAATGGACACTGTAAAGTAAGTTTACATCTTTATCATTTTACCACTTAAAACATATTATATCTATTGTACTAAAATCTCAATAAAACAAACAAATGTATCTGTACAAGGAGGTAAAAGGATTGAAGGAGCATAGTCTACGAAATCAAGTTGTACTTCTGAGGCAAACCAAACAATACTAAATTAGTGTTTTATGAAGTAGTTCCCTTATTGTTAAGATATTTCCTTTTAATATGTTTTCAGAAAGTGGTGGTAATATTAAACAGTGCAGAAAGATTGCCAGTTCTGATTCCAGGAAGGAAACCCACACCCAGTTCCTTTCTGAGTAACTCAAAATTTGCCCGTGAAACTTTCAAAACTAGCTTGGGATAGCTTACATTATGAGTAGCATGCCTCAGGGTGAAATTCAGTCATCCAGGATTTGAAGTGGACAATGACAAACAGTACTTCTATGAGCTTCTATTTTATGTCCACTGGAAAGTAGGATGACATCTTCTAAAATACGGTAACTCCAAATATCTACATAGTTTACATTTGCTTCAAGTTTCATTATACTTTGAAACTCTCCTAGTTAGTTTGATTTCAAATAACAGAAATAACGGAAGTTTAACAGGGAATCTGTTAAACTATACAGATGGCTATTGGTCAGCTATGCTGATTTCAGTTCCTTTCAGAGCATCTTCTAAACAGGTGAGTTTAATTCGTATAAATCGCAACATTTGTTTGTAGCCACTTTTAACTACACAATTAATTTCATTTTGCATTTTTCTCAAACAAACAAAAACTCTGCTGGGAATTGGTAAAGATGCAGTGAAGCAATTGTATCATGTATCTATCTTAGAACTCATAAATATCAGATGGATAATGATGTTAGTTTGTTGCTGCTAACATCTTAAAGAATTAAACCAATAATGGTATAAATTCTTATTAATTATAATCCATTTCATCAGGTGTACACAAAACCTTCAATGTTTAAACCGCTTTCTTACTTCTCATGAGGAAAGGCATGTTTCATATTTGCAAGTCAAGGAAAAACACTAGCCAATGAGGCTTGTCCCCTCAGGACAGTACAAAATATCTCTAGAAAACTGATTGGCTGACAGATGACTGTCAACCAATCAGAACTTGCTTGCTAGTCAATAATTATAAGTCTTATTCTGCCTTCTCAGGTCTGGGTCTAAACTCACAGATCTCTTCCTGATCTTAAAAAAAAGAGAGAGAAAAGTAAAGTATCTTTTCTCAGTGTTTCTGTAAACACTATGGTGGCAAAGCTCACAATGACTCATCAGAATTCTATACTCTGCCTCCTTTTTATACTCATGCCAGCAGACTGTTGTAACAGATTCACATCAAGTTGGAAGGTGAAGCAAGCTGAAAAGGCATCATAAACAAGCCCCAAACTGCAAGATTCATAATATGCATTCACTGCATGGAAACAACATCTTCTCATCTAATACAAAAATATAGTGAAATTCCTTACAACTGTATCCATCCAGTTACGGTAACTGGGGGATCTGCACAACGCTCATCTCACACAAGTACCTGCCTTGTTCCTTTGTTAGAAATACCTCAACAGAATTTAACAGGCCACAGGAGTTATACGACCATTCTCAACAAGGTTACTGTGTGATGACATAATTGTTCAAATGATCAGCTGAATCTTGAATTTTGAAGAAAGGATCCTGAGCAGAGGTGGGTTTCAGCAGCTTCTGACCAGTTCTGGAGAACCGGTAGCAGAAATTTTGAGTAGTTTGGAGAACCGGTAAATACCACCTCTGACTGGCCCTGCCCCCATCTATTCTCTGCCTCCCGAGTCGCAGCTGATTGGGAGGAAATGGGGATTTTGCAGTAACCTTCCCCTGAATTGGAGAGGTAATGGAGATTTTACAGTATCCTTCCCCTGGAGTGGGGTGGGAATGGAGATTTTACAGTATCCTACCCCTGCCATGCCCACCAAGCCATGCCATGCCCGCCAAACCACACCCACAGAACCGGTAGTAAAAATTTTTGAAACCCACCACTGATCCTGAGGTATAAAGCTTTAGATAAAAGGGCAGGCTCGAGTTTAGATTATCCTTGAAAGCTTTCAGGAAAGGAGACTCCAGAGCGGTTGATTGCATGACTGAATTTGTGCTTAGGAAGTGTTCACAACGTTCGACCTAAATATATGTTGGCTTGAGTTCAGAGATTACAGGATGCTGAAGGAGGAGAGGGATAATGTTTGCAAATTCCTTTGTTCCCTTGAAAAATTGCTCTGGAGGGTTGAAGGACCCTCTAGAATAGTTCAGAAAGGGACACGAAGAGCTCAAGGACAAGAGGATAAATTTAAATCATCTTATTTTCCAGTGGAAGCTAGTTACTGATCCCTCAGGGTTCTTTCTCATGGCCACATCTTTGTGCTTTCCTCCCTGTGCTTGAATTGGAAAATATATTAGCATTAATAGCACTGACCCCACACAGCCTATCATTACGGCATATCCACTCTGAGGCCAGGCTAGGCAGCTTCCGGATAGTGATTGTAGATTCCATGATGTCTTTTCCTTTCCCATTCAGTGCCATTTACACTGGGAAATCCAACCACCTACTGCTCTGTGAACATGCAACATACTGTAGGAATAGAATACAGAATAACAGAGTTGGAAAGGACCGTGGAGGTCTTCTAGTTCAACCCCCTGCTCAAGCAGGAGATCCTATGCCCGTGATGGCGAACCTATGGCAAACGTGCCACAGGTGGCATGCGGAGCCATATTAGTGGGCACGCCAGCTCAGCTCTGGGGCGCATGTGCACGCCGGCCAGCTGATTTTCGGGCCTTCTGGGCCCACCAGAAGTAGGGAAACAGGCTGTTTCCTGCCTCTGGAGCAGTGGTGGGTTCCTCCCGGTTTGGTCCGGTTCGGCCGAGCCGGTAGCGGTGACGATATGACATCACCGAACCGGTTCCCCTCCCCCTGCCCTCCCACCCCCACCCCCCATGTTATTCTTACCTTTTATTTGGTCCCACCCCCAATCTATTGCTGCCTCCTGAGTCCCAGCTGATGACTAGAGGGAAAAAAACTGTTTAAACTCTTGCCGCGGGAGTTCAAAGGGCCGTCCTACAGCTGATCAGTGTTAAAAGCAAACAAATGAGTCGGGTCGTAAGTGCGAGGACTGGTCGTAAGTGTGAGGACCTTCCAGAAATGACTCTGACCAGCTAGCCACGCACACCTAGTCACATGACCTCCAAGCCACACCCACAAAATAAGCCACGCCCACAGAACCAGTAGTAAAAAAATTTAGAACCCACCCCTGCTCTGGAGGGCCTGGGGTGGGTGGGGAAGGCCCGTTTTTCTTTCTTACCTGGTTCTATTTATCTGGGAAGGACAAAAACAGCCTTTCCCACTCCCTCGGAGGCCTGATAGGCCCCATTTCCCAACTCCCAGTGGGACAGGAAGTGACTTTTTTTGCTGTCCCCAGCCTCCAGAGACACCTAGAGAGGCTCCTAGAGACTCCTAGAGAGACTCTGGAGGCTGGGGACAGCAAAACGTGTCACTTCCTGTCCCACCGGGAGTTGGGAAATGGGCCGTTTCAGGCCTTTGGAAGGCCTTCGAGGGAATGAGAAAGGCTGTTTTCGTCCTTCCCAGATAAATAGAGAGGATCTGGAACCAGGTAAGAAAGAAAAACAGGCCTACCAGGCCATCCTGTGCCAGGAGTAGGGGGGAAAGGGGGGTTGCACGCGCATGCCCGTGGGTACGTGCGTGCGCAACCCTCTCCTGCCCCCCCTCTCCTGGCACGCAATGGCAAAAAGGTTAGCCATCACTGTCCTATGCCATTCTGGACAAATAGCTGTCCAATCTTAAGAACCTGCCGTGATGGAGCACCCACAACTTCTGGAGGCAAGCCATTCCACTGATTCGTTGTTCTCATTCTCAGGAAATTTCTCCTTAGTTCTATATTGGATCTTGCCTTGATAAATTTTCATCCTTGCTTCTTCTTCTGCTTTCTGGTGCTTTGGAGAATAGGTTGACTCTCTCCTCTCTGTGGCAGCCCCTCAAATATTGGAAGACTGCTATCATGTCATCCTTAGTCCTTTTCTTCGTTAGACTAGACATATCAAATTCCTGCAATCGTTCATCACTCTTTCTAGAGTCTCAATCTTTTTTTGTATGTGCACTTAGTTAGCCTTATTTTTTTACTATTATTTATTGCATGCGTCTTCTAACAGGTTTATCACATGTTTTTAGAGGGTTTTTTTTTCCTGTGGTCTCCAGCACTGTAGACAAAGAAATAGTAGTAATGTGGCCAGGATCAACAAGGTTTACAATGGGTTGGCAATGTACATACAAGTTGACTAATACCCAGTTTGTATGTATATTGCATTGTGGATGAGGACAATCTGTTATCACACATTGTCCTAATTCACAATACAATATACAGTACATACAAGCTGGGTATTAGTCAACCTGCATGCTCCTAATCCAGGACAATGTAATCCTTGAAACTGTTTCAGGCATTAAATTTATTACATCTTTCTGTTTATTTATGACATACAGCCGATAGATTCAGAATACACCTAATGAAGTGCAATAGACTCTAAAAAATATTTATTTATGAATCAAATCCAGACAACTTGGCTTCTGCTTTGACAACTGAAATATTAAATACTTCTCCCAATATGTACCAGTCAAATGAAAAATATACTTACAGAATGTCTGTTCTCCTCAGCATCTGAAAATAATAAGATATAGATTAAAAATTACCACTTTAGTAGACAAATCTACACTCGATCACTCTAACATTTTCCTTTAAATAGCTCATTATTTACATTTATCTCACCTTTCAAGGTGAGGTTTCCACAGTCTTTGCTTAAATAAACCTAACCCTTTCATTTTTTCAGATAAAGAAAAGTCAAGTCTGAGGGTCCTTGGTGCTCTTTGAGCTTGGTTGTTTTCTTGCAGACATTTCATTACCCAAACTAGGTGACATCTTCAGTAAGGTTTAATTGTTTCTGACAATAGCATAGCATTCATTTATTGGGAGCATACCAATGGGAGCTAGAATATTTTTGATGAATCCACTCTTTACATCAATTTCAGAAATCAAGAAAAAAAAATGGTCAAAGCATTCTGATTTGATGACTATTATATTCCTTTTCCCGAATTCCTGCATAAACCTGAGCAATTTACCCATTGAACAAAGTAGGATTTACTTTCAAATCAATATGCATGAGGCTAAAAAAAGCAAAATTTATTAGAGTAATTCATAAACATGCCCAGTTCGTATTATCTGCAGAGAAAACAAAAAAGAAAATGGTCCCCAAACTGGTGAATGTTTCAAGGGTGACCCTGAAGCAACAGTTATTCCAGCTACCTCCCTGTAGCATTAATACTAATGGCCATACTTGAGAAATGCTAATTAATATAATTTGTCAAAAGAGGCATATGACAGATCTGATGCATGAACTAGATGCGATGCTTATGATGATAGAAGTCTCCAGGGGACCAGAGAAGTACACTTTAGTAATGTGGAATAATGTGGAAAAACATTCTGAGAAAAGCAAGCAACATCCAACCAGAGAGTCTGTCTTTATCTCTAAAACTAAAAATGTTAACCCATGCCATGCAGTCCTCTTCCTTCCCACAAGGCTTATCTCCATTATTTACACAAAACTGACTCACTGGAAATTTACCTACTTCTCTGTGACATAACACATAGAATGGCTAAAATTTGTTGATCAGGCCAAGAAAGACACATGGAGTTATTTCTGAGTAGATTCCTTTATTGTTCCTCACCTATGGACAGAGATCTTGCCAGAAAGCAGCTATGTGACCACAATAGATATACTCTAGGAATCATTAGTGAGGGCCCGTTTTAACTCTTTTCCTCCCAACCAAACTTTCCATGCATCCCTGCCTCCTTTCCCTCTGGAATGCAGCCCCTCCCTCCTGAGAATCCAGACTACATTCCACTACACTCCTCCAACTGTAGTCCACAAGATAATTAGAAAAACAGAACAACAGTACTGTAACAGTTATGGCAACAGAGAAGTCTGAATGTGCGTCCCCTTCTCTCACCTTGTGGGAACTAGAGAGAGCCCTATCTGAGATATTGTCTCAAGGTATTTTCTTGACAAGGGCTCAAGCCCCTCTTATCTGACTGTTGCCTTTATAATGGGTCTTCCTTTGGTTCTTCAAGGCTAGTCCTGATACCCTCTATGCAACTCTCTCACAAAACACATGCTCCAAATAAATTTGCTGGTTGGCCATGGAAACTCAGGGAATGGCTTTTGATTAGTCACTTTTTGTCAGCCCAAAAGATCACAGAAAATGGTACTTGTGGGAAAAGAGAAAAAATGAAATGTGTCAGCCCTTTGAGTAGACTAAGCAAACATACTTCACAAGAATTCTGGAACTCTATTCTATTGAATTTGTCTATATTAACATAGTGAAAACATGATTGCATTTTTCATTATCTCCAGAGAATCAAGGCAGAATACATCTGAGTTTCTTTCTACAGGTCGTCCTTGATTTATAACCATTCATTTAAAGACTGCTTGAAGTTACAAAGGCACTGAAAAAAGTGGCTTAGGACCATTTTTCACACTTATGACAGTTGCAGCATTCCCATGGTCTGTAATCATAAGTCAAGGACTATCTGTAGTGTTTTCTTCCTTTCCCTTATAACATACAATATATAGTAACTATCATCACCTAGTTTCTCCCAGATCTTCTCTGTGGCTTTCCACAGAGCCTTAAGCTTTTGAGAAAAGGTGGGATATAAGCCTAAAAAATAAGCAAGCAAATATTTCCACTCCCCTGCAGCACCTTCTAAAGTTAGAAATCCCCTATTTCATATCGATCCCAGGCTCTTCTCCAATTGCTTATTCAGAAAAAGAGAGGTTTCTCGCACAGATATATACTTGGCAAGAAAAAACAGATACGAGGATGTGGCTCAACCTTTTGTTCAGCCTTTTCCAATTTGATGAGTTTTACTTCACCTTCCATGACCCCCAGCCAGCATGGTCTTCACTAACAAGGCAAGCATAAGATATGAAAAGCAATTGTGATTTTTGTAAAGAAGATAAACTCCAGAACAATAATCCCCTTCAACCAGTTAAGATCAAAGAGTCATTTGAAATGACATATCTGAAATAAATTACCCAAGACTTTTGTAGCGTGCTAACTATTGTCTTGCCAGGAAGGAGGAAATTATAAATTTTGTATATTTCTAGAGCTCCAAATGAAAGGTTGTCCGTTAATTTTCTGGGAGATGGAAAATTGAAAAAATAAATAAATCAATGGATAGCCCATGTTTTATTCACCCTATATCAGTCTGGTGGCCAGCAATATTTTATGATGAAGTCTAACCTAATTGCTGCATAACCTATGTTAATACTAAAACAGCTAAATTATTTCATCTCCCAATGCGGCTTTAGATCACTTTAAATCAGCTTTCCTCAATAAAGTACTCTCCAGATGTGATGGGGCTGCATTTACTGTTATTATCATATCCCATAAGCTGGTTATCTTCATTACTACTGCATTAGATCCTTAGAAGATAATGCTGATCCTTCATTCAGGTACTCACTCAGTGTTCATGAAAAATTTGAACACTGCCTGCTTACGGGTAATCCTTGATTTACAACTATTTGTTTAGTGACCATTTGAAATTATAGCAGTGCTGAAAAAAATGACTTATGACCACTTTTCACACTTATGACTGTTACGGCATAACAATAAATGCTTCAGATATCAGTGCTGTCATGATTCTAGAGATGCTTATATCTTCTCCGCAAGTCTTTCTTGATTGTGTGTACAGGTAGTCCTCGATTTACAATAGACCATTTAGTGACCTTTCGAAGTTACAAGGGCACTGAAAAAAGTGACTTATGACTGTTTTTCACACTTATGACCATTACAGCATCCCCATGGTCATGTGATTGAAATTTGGGTGCTTAGCAACTGGCATGTATTTATGACGGTTGCAGTATCCTGGGGTCATGGGATAACTTTTTGTGACATTCTGACCAGCAAAGTCAATGGGGAAATTAGATTCACTTAACAACCATGTTACTAACTTAACAACTGTAGTAATTACTTAACAGATGTGACAAGAAAGATTGTAAAACAGGGAAATTTCCTTTAACAGCTGTCTTGCTTAGCAACAGAAATTTTGGACTCCATTGTGATCATTAGTTGAAGCCTACCTGTATTATATTTCCAAATATTTATTTCATAAGGAAATAATGTAGGAGTTCCAAAGAAAGGAATATAGTTTAGACTTGCACTTTTAACAAAAGTACTGTAGAATAGCCAACTGTTTGGCAAATGCATTTCAGTTTTAAAGATTGGGTCAACATAAAAGCACTATAAAGGTTCTTGCCCAAATGCAAATCCAAACATATATAAGGAAATGAGCAAAGTACATATGAAGTTTATGAATACTATGATGCTATGTCCATCTACTCTTCCAGTTCTGGACAAAATATCCAATCCTAGTATTTTTAGCAATAGCAATACCACGTAGACTTATATACAGCTTCACAGTGCTTTACAGCCCTCTCTAAGCAGTTTACAGAGTCAACCTATTGTCCCCCAACAATCTGGGTCCTCATTTTACCCATCTCGGAAGGATGGAAGGCTGAGTCAACCTTGAGCCTGATGAGATTTGAACTGCCGAACTGCAGCCAGCAATCAGCAGAAGTAGCCTACCGTACTGTATTCTAATCACTGCGCCACCACATCTCATTTTAAAATGATGTTTAGCACTTTCATGGGATTCTAAACAAGGCTGGTATTTGCTAGGAAGGATCTCAACTCATATAAGAGCATCCTTATATGAGTCTGGAATTTGGAAGCAGGAAATTGGCACAAGTTTTTAGAGCTCTGCAAAATACAACAAGGTTTTCTCATGCCTGGTGCTGCTGAGAATATTTGTTTTTCCACAGAATGTTGTGGGTGGCAGAATGTTATGCTGAGCTCTTCCTGACTCGACACAAAACCTAACGCCTAAAACTTGAGTCATTTTTCCAGCACATAGCACAAATGTGTAGTTTGTTGATTAAAACAACTTGGGGCAGGGTAGAGTTATAGCAATTTTTTAAAAAGATAATTAACGTAATATCGCTGGACCAAAATACACTTTATCAGTTCATGAAATGTGTTTTTAAAGGGGCAGACATGGCTTTACACGTAGATAGTTGGTTGTGTGAGATAGCCAAAATGGAGGGGAAAGAGATCAGTAGGAAACAAAATATAAGCCGGGTAAATATATAATTTTGTGACAATTGTATAGGCAATAACCAAGGTTGTATTGGTTACAGCAGAAATGTTCCAGCATAGGAGACATAATGAATGCTGCTATCAGAAATAGATATTTATTTGTTTTTAATTTGTATACCGCCCTTCTCCAGCAGGACTCAGGGCGGTGAACAGCCAGAATAAAACAGAACACACAAAATTTAAAAACAGTTTAAAAATAATTAAATATTTTTGGCCGCAATTTAAAACACACCCAATTAAAATCAATTAAATTTAACCAAAACTGTGGGATCAAGCCAGCCCGGCTAGGTGAAATAAATAAGTTTTCAGGGCCCGACGAAAAGTCCGGAGGTCTGGTATTGTACGTATCTCTGGGGGAAGGTTGTTCCAGAGGGCAGGCGCCACCACAGAGAAGGCTCTCCCCCTGGGGGTCGCCAGCCGACACTGTCTGGCGGACAGCACCCTGAG